GCGTGCTCCGGTTGGCTCCGACCATGTCAACCGCGCCACGTTACCTGCTGCCCCGACTTCGCCGACGTCGCTCGAGGTGCTCGCGGGCGACGCGGGCCGGAAGATTGCCGACCGTCTTCATGAAGCGGACTTTCCCCGAGAGCAGGGGATTGAGCGCGTGAGAATTGAGGGGCCACGACGTCTGTGCGTGGATCCGAACTTTCGTAACCCAAATCTGAAACATGTGCAGGAGGGCGCTGCCGCGGCTCGTGGGCGCCATCCTGGTCCGCTTCTATTCGTCCTGTGAGTGCACCGTCGGGCTTGTCTTCGCACGCGAGAAATCAGGCGACATCCGGATGATGCTTGATGACCGCTACTCATCACTTCGCTTTGATACTGCTGACAAAATTGAGCTGGCGTCGGGCTCCGCCTCTGGTCAGGTCACTGCCGATGGGGGTGCGCTCATTGCTGTTGCAGGCGTGGACATAGCGGCTGCTGTCAATAACATCCTGCTCCCATCCTGGTTGTTGACATACTTCGGTCTTCCGTCAGTCTGCGCATGGGATTTCGGCTTGGACAAGGCGGCCTGTGGCACCCGTGTAAAGCCTAACCAGACAATTGTAGTTTGTTTTCGTTGCACTCCGATGGGCTGGAGCGTCAGCCTTTGGGCATGCCAGACCATCAGTGATACGATAAGTTCACGTGTTCCTGAAGTTAGTACCCCTCATCTCCTTGTGGATCGCGGGCCAGCGCCCAGCCTCGGAAAGGGGTTCGTCCATGCCGAGTACGGTGGCAATATTGCATCCTTGGCTCGCACTGTCCCCGAGGCCGGCGATGTAGCTAGAGCGGCCAATGCAGAGCTGCAGCTAGTCGGGCTTCCGACCCACCACTCACCCAGTGGAGGAGGGGATGGTCGGTCAGACTTTGGGCGGTGAGTTCTGGAACACGGGCGCTGCTATCGGTTTGATACCTCGTCTTCGTTGGAGGGTCCGCCTCGGCGTCCAGCGTCTTCTGGGCCAAGGCAGGTGCTCCGGAGATGCCCTGGGGCGAGTCGCGTCACGCGTTGCGCTTCGCGGTCTTATTCGGAGAGAGCTGTTGAGCGCGCTGGGGGCGGTGTATAACTTCGTGGAGACAGCGGGGCCCCGATTGGCTCCTATTTGAGGGGCTGTTCGTCACGGGCTTCGACGGCGCGGGGCCCCGGCGGTCCCGCGCTGCAGAAATGCGGGGCGACCCATTATTAATGCGATCTCTGGGGTGGACGCCCCGCGGCGGCGGGTCGGCATCACCGACGAGGTCGTCGATGACAACGTGGCCTCCGAGCTGTCGTCGCACAACGAGCGGTGGCGGATCGGGAAGGACTCGAAGATATCGGTCGCACCTCGGGATTTCGACATCTGCGGGTGGATGGGCGAGGTGGGGGATCGAGGGGCCCCTGGAGATCCCGGCGCCCCTGGGGCCCTCCATGGCATCGTAGTCTCCCCGAGGCCCCCGGAGGCAGCCTTCGAGAGCGTTCCGAAGGAGGTCTGGGGCGGCGTCTGGAAGCGCGTCCTGGAGTCGCGGGGGGGCCCAGGTGATTCTGGAGGGTCGGGCTCTCGCGCGTTGTCTTCGTCGCCGCCTTCGATCGGTGAGCAACGGCAGAACGATGCGCGTTATCCCGATCGACTCGACGGCGCCGCTGCTCGCTTTGCTCAAGGGGCGTTCGTCGCCAGCTCCAATATTCAGCGCATTTGTCGGCAGATCGCCGCCCTGGCCCTTTGCCGCGGCTGCGGCGTCGCCTGGCGCCAGCTGCCATCGGGGCGCAACGGCGCGGACCCAGCTTATCGGAACCTGCCCGGGCCACCAGCTGAGGCGGGCCGAGGGGTTGCAGCTGATGGCCGAGGCCGCGCCGCTGCGCCTGGCTGTGGGGGGAGCGCCCCGGGCCTCCAGGCTGGCCATGCTGCGCGCCGCCGCTCGGCCTCGAGCTCCCGCCGGGGCTCTGCTGCGGCGCGCCCCCAGGGCCGCCTCGGGCGTTGGCGGCGAAGGAGAGCGACCGCCGCGCCGTGCGGCGCTTGCAGAGGTTGCAGCGGGTCGGTCGCGAGATCGCCCCGACCGCCGGTCAGACCGAGTCTTTCTTGGAGACGGAGTCGGCGTCGGTACCTACTGGGCGGGGCCACGGCCGCCTGGTGCAGGCGATCGCGAGCTGGGCCAAGATGGTGGCGCTGACGGCGGTTATGGCTGCGTCTCTGGACGCTGCCCCGGCAGTCTACTTCCACGAGCAGTGCCTGGAGTGCGGCGAGAGCACCGGCGCGTGGAAGCCGTTCGCGGCTCTGGCCTTCAAGCGCATCGACCTGGGCGCGAAGTACTCGCGCCTACCTCGAGCCACTCGCGCAGCGAAGGGCTGGAGGCGCCCGGCGCCGCCAAGGTCGAGGTTGTCGCTTCCTTGGGCGGCGCGCTGCCTGATCATCTGGGCGCTGGCGAGCGCAGGGGGGCCGACGATCGCTGCCCTGACCGCAGCGACGTTCGCGCTGTACCTGCGGCCGTCCGTGGCCCTGCTGCTGACCACCGACAACTTGATCACGCCGTCGGCGCTGCGCGTGGGACCTCAGGGAGTCTGGGGCGCGACCCTGGACCCGCGCGAGCGGGGCGTGGCCAGCTAGCAAGACTGGGCGTGTACGGCGACTCTGCTGATCGACGGTCCAGCTTTCCCGTGGTTGCCAGGCTTGCTGCAGAAACTGGCCTCGACCCGCTTGGCGGGTCAGCCCCTCTTCGGCGTGAGATATTAAGAGTGGGACACCGTGTTTTGGGTGGCGACCCGCGCGGCGGGCCTGCAGGCGCTGGGGCCGATCGCCTTCCGCCAGCTGCGCCGCGGCGGCGCGAGTTGCGAGTTGCGGGCGAAGGCCCGCGCCCTGGGCGCAGTCAAGAAAAGGGGGAGGTGGGCCACCGACCAGGCGGTCAGGAGAAACGCCGAGGGAGGGCGCATCCAGGAGCAGCTGAACGCCCCCCCCCCGCTGCCGCACAGGCCCTGGCGCGTCAAGCGCTGGCCGCGGTTGGCGACGTCCTCTGCGCGACTTGACCACCTTCGTCCTTCGTCGCGACCCGCGGCAGCCCGGTCACGTTGGAGATTTTCTCAGGCAGCGGCAACTTGTCTCGTGCATGGCGTTTGTCGTTCAAAGGATATTGTGCCTCATTCGTGTTCGACGATCTCCATGATACTAACGCTGATGCTCTCAGCCGACTTGTTCAGCGTCTGATCCGAGGCTGGATTCGAGGTGGATTGATATCTTCCGCATGGATCGATATTCCATGCCAGTCGTTGCCGCGTGCTCGAAACAGACCTGGGGGACCTCACCCACTTCGCGATGCTGAGTTCCCCCATAGGCCCCCCCAGCCGATCGCATGCCGATGCTTTGAAAGTTAGTGGAGGTAATCAGTGAAAGGCTCTTGTCACTTTGTGCCGGACCCTTGGTGTCCCCGTGGTTTTATAAAATTATGCCAATTCCTGGTTGTTGAATATGCCCGTGGCCCTCGCTCTTGCTCGTGTCAAGAATGTCTGGAATGTGCTCGTCGATTTTTGTGCGTTCGGGAAACCTTGGCGAGAACGGACCAGGCTCCGATATTCCTACCTCGATCTCTCCCAGCTTGAGCAGGCCCACTGCGTCTGTCGAGGTCGTTGTAGCTTCTCTCAACGCCCCCATAGAGTGCTAGAGGGTAAAGATCTCGCCAGCCGGTTCTGGACTCATATAGCGGAGCCGTACCCCCCAAGCATGCGCAGGCTAAGTGTGCAAGCATCTATGCAAGGTTTTCGAAGCCAGGCTTGTCGAACACTATCAAGATATATGGCCCAGCGGCCAGCAGGAGTTTCGCAAGTTTTTGCATTGTTGCTCGATGTTTCGGTGTTGTGATCGGTGGGAGGCCTTCCCGTCGAGATTGGGCGAGAGGCCTCTCGGCAGTTGGCTCCGGGCCAGTATCACACAGATGATGCATTCTGGTCTGCTCTGGAGAAGCAAGAATATATGAGGGCCGGTGCCCGAGAGTCCGCCAAAGCATAGATTGCTGTGGCGTGCGTTTTTTTTTGCGAGGGATCGGTCGGAAAGGGGGCCGATGCAGCATGATCCGTTCTGCTGCCTCTTGTGCTCGAGCTTCCCATGCATTTGATTCAATTCAAATTGTCCCCAGCCCTTCAAGCTGGAGCGTTTAACAATTGCACGGTCTTGTGATATGTGAGAGGCTTTCCCCTCGAAGTTGGGTGAGAGGCCTCTCGACAGTTGGCTCCGTGTTGGCGCCCGAGAGTCCGCCAGAACACATGTGTATGTATGTATGTATGTATGTGTGTATGTATGGATGGATCGATGGATTGGTGCATGCATGTATGTGTATGTATGTATGTATGTATGCAGACACGCATTCACGTATGTATGTCTGCGTGTGCGCATGTATGTTTGCATGTGTTCATGCATGTAGGTAGGTAGGTGGGTAGGTCGGGAAATCCCTCTACCTCTTTCTCTGTTTTCTTCATACCAATACTGGCAGTCATAGTTATCTCTGTCTCTCTCTCTCTCTTCATCTCTGTATCTCTCCACCCCTCACCTTCCCTGTTCGTGCGTCGGCTTTCCTCTTTGTGGTGTGTGGCAACTGCAGGTACATTCGTTTCTGTCTGCGTCTGTATCGCTCTCTCTCCCTGTTTTGCCTCTCTCTTTCTCCCTCCCTCCCTTTCTCTCTATGTATCTCTTTCGCTCTGCTTGTCCGTTGTCCATCCGTCCAGCCGCCGTAACGAGGGTTACTCGCGACGCTTGCCGGTTACGGGCGTCGCGCTGCTGCCCCACAGGCGCACGTACGTATTGGAATGTTGTGGACGCTTTCGCGTACGACGTCTAGGTCGAGAACCAGAATAAGCATGGCCAAGCCGACGAGAGTCTTCCTGTCGCACCCCTCCGCCCCGCCGCCGCCGCCTCGCCGCCGCCGTCGCCGACGACAGCGACGACGACAGTCTACGACGACGACGACCGTCTTCCGCACTCCCTCCCCGCCGCCTCCTATCTCAGGAGCACCTCGAGGGCCAGCGCAGGGACCGCGCCACGCGGCGGCGCCAGCGGGCGTTCGACCACCTGCCGGAGCTGCAGAGGGCAGCCCTGCAGAAGGCCCGCCCTCCGCCAGAGCCGCTGGGCAGGGGAGAGAGTCCGACCCAGAGGTCCCAGGCTCCGAGGAAAAGTTTCCAGCGGCAAGTGTCGGGCGGCGTTCTGCCTCTAAGGCCCTTCACGGGCCCCGGGACCCTAACATTACTCGACGTGGAGATGCCCACGTGTGCGTCTCGTACTCATGCCACGTCTCGCCGAGGAACTCTGTCTTTGAGCATCTGATTGTGAAAGCGAGTCAGCGTAGAAGACGGGCGCGACGACGACGACAACGACGACAGCGACGCCTTCAGTGCGGTCCTCCTCCTCCTCCTCTGGGCATCGTTGAGGAGATGAGGGAAGGACAACTGGAATAGCGAGGGAGCACTAGACCACCAAAACGGAAATTGTTGTGAGTGAGTATACTTGTGAATGATCTGAGTGCAAGCGAGCCTGAGTGTGAATTAGCTCGGTGATTCTTGAGTTTGCGTGTGAGTGGGGTTAGTATGAGAGAGTGTGAGCACGATTGGGTCTGAGAATGCGTAAGTCTGAGTATGAGTCTGACTGCGAGTGAGTCTGGGCGTTACTGCGTTTGGGTACGAGTTTCATTAGTATGAGCCTCAGTATGAGCAGGCTTGAGTACGAGCGAGTTTGAGCATGAGTGAATCTGAGTGTGGAGAAGTCTGAGTGCGAACGAGTCTGAGCCAGTGAGTGGGTCTGAGTGTGAGCGAGTATGCGTCTTACTGTTCAGGACGTTGCCTTCGACTTTCTCACAGCTTGCTCCTTAAGCAGAGGAGTCGGTAGCGCCGAAAAATGCTGCTTAAGCAGAGGAATCAGTGGCGCTGAAAAAGACAAACCGCCCGAGACACCACAATGAGGGCGCGAACGGGCCCGTGCTATACTCTCCCGCGGCTCCGCCATGTGAATGCTGAACCCAGCGGCTCGCCTGGGACATCTTCACCATCTGCTCCGAGAGCAGAGGTTGTTGAGCATGTAAACAGGCAAACCGTTTGAGAGATCCTTCATCTCTGGGCGCGAACGGGCCTGTGCAATACACCCTGGCAACTCCCTCTTGAGAGTGCTAAAGCCAACGCCTCGCCTGAGGCATCCTCACACCTCAGCTCCGAAGTAAAGGATGTTGAGCATGCAAGTAGGCACACCGCTTGAGACGTGCTCACAATCTGGGCGCGAACGGGCCCACGCAATATCCCCTGGCGGCTCCCCCTTGGAAGTGCTGCAACCAGCGCCTCGCCTGAGACATCCTCACAATCTGTTCCAGAAGCCATGGATGCTGAGCGTGCAAACAGGATACGGTAGGTTTGCGTCGTGTCGACCAGCGGCGACCCCAGCGCGGACGTTCAAGGTTGAACGCCGCCGGCGACCCAGAATCGATCGATGTTGAACGATCGGACCTTGCGGCAGCGGCCGATCGTTCAAGGTTGAACGATCCCTGCGGTGTCAAAAACCAACGCTGGGGTCGGCACGACACGAACCTGCCGTAGCCGCCTGCGATTTCCCCACAGTTTGGGCGCGAGCTGGCCCGTGCAATACCACCCTGGCGCCCCCTCCCTGAGCGTGCTGCAGCCAGCGTCTCTCCTGAGACACTCTCGCAGTCTGCGTGCGTGAGTGGTTCTGAGCACGCGTGATTCTGAGGTGAGCATCCTGGATCATCGACCGAAACACGAATGCTCGACATCGGAAAACGCGAACGACCGTGCGATCGATGGCGGGTAGATGCGTCTCCACCGCTGCGCTGCGGCCCGAGGGCGCCGGTTCCCCAGGCGGTGCTTGTGGATAGATCCCCGCCTCGCCGAGAGGGCACGCGGGCTGCTGCTGTCTGCAGGCGGTGAGGCCGGCTCGGGGCCGCGGCTGGAGACGCCGGGAAGGTATAGGCCCTGCCCAGGGTGCCCCACGGCTCCTCGCGCCGCTCCTGGAGGCTTTGGGGCCCGGGGCGCCCGGCGAGGGTCAGCCACGCGCAGAGGGCCCCAGAGGCCTGCTTCGCAGAACCAGGCCTGCCCTGCGAGAGGGGGTTGCTTCCCAGGAGCAGCCCTGCTTCTTAGGGGGCGCGGGCCTCGTCTGTCGAGCTGTAGAGGTAGGGCCGGCGCCTTCCAAGGAGCAGCTTCCTTCTAAGAAGCCGTCCCACCCCCCCTTCCCCTTGCGCCGCCAAGTGGGGTGCCCTGAAGGAGGTCTGGGACTCCCTGGTCAGGGGTTCGTTTTCGGGGAACCTTCCTGGGGCCCACTCGACGGATCTGTTCGACCCTCGTCCGACTCCAGTTCGACTCGATTATGACACAAGTCGATTCGACTCGACCGATGGTCAGCGCAGCATCGAAGCACGAGTGGAGCGAGAGGCTTCAGGAAAGTCCCCACAACGAGCACCTGACTCCAGGGAAGGATAAAGAAGAGACCTGTGAGGGAGGGGAATAGAGGAGGAGGAAGAGGAGGAGAAGGAGGAGGAGGAGGAATAAGAGGTGGATCGGTCTTTCCTGCCTGAAACAACTGGGGCCACCTCGAGTAATTAGGCAGTGGCCATCTCTGGAACAAAACAAACCATCGAGCGCAGGGAGCTCCCCGCGAGCCCCAACCCCCAGGTCCAGTCTGCACACGGGGTTCACCGGCGCACTCTCTTGAAGACCGGCCCGCCGCTTGCAGGGGCGAGGCCTCGGACGGCTCTCTCGGGCAGAGCTGAGGGACAGCCAAATTCTTGACGTTCCGCGTGATCCCACCAGCCCCTCCTTCTCCTCCTCCTCCTCCTCCTCCTCCTCCTCCTCCTCCTCCTCCAGACGAGTTGCCCTGATCAGGGAAACGGAGAAGAACGCAGTGGAAGGGCTGTGTGAGACGTCGTACCCCAAGAGCGGGACGATGGAAGAGGAATCGAAGGAGGAGCAGGAGAAGAAGGAGAAGGAAGGCTTCTTGGGTGCTTTCGGGGGGCCTCTTGGAGCCTCTTGGGGGTCTCTTTGGAGCCCCTTGGACAATCAAGGAGCATCTGGGATCATCTTGCGGAACCAGTATACGCACGCAACCGCAACATGCTTGGGGGATGGACGTCCGAGTGGTGGCGAGTGGCTGAGGCCTGCTTACTCCGGCTGCATCCCGTGTCGTCCAGCTCATCAATCCTGGGCTTGATCGGACGTCGTCCAGCTCGATGGCCCCTGCAATCGCGCTTCGCAGAACCAGGCCTGCCCTGCGAGAGGGGGTTGCTTCCCAGGAGCAGCCCTGCTTCTTAGAGGGCGCGGGCCTCGTCTGTCGAGCTGTAGAGGTAGGGCCCGCGCCTTCCAAGGAGCAGCTTCCTTCTAAGAAGCCGTCCCACCCCCCCTTCCCCTTGCGCCGCCAAGTGGGGTGCCCTGAAGGAGGTCTGGGACTCCCTGGTCAGGGATTCGTTTTCGGGGAACCTTCCTGGGGCCCACTCGACGGATCTGTTCGACCCTCGTCCGACTCCAGTTCGACTCGATTATGACACAAGTCGATTCGACTCGACCGATGGTCAGCGCAGCATCGAAGCACGAGTGGAGCGAGAGGCTTCAGGAAAGTCCCCACAACGAGCACCTGACTCCAGGGAAGGATAAAAAAGAGACTTGTGAGGGAGGGGAATAGAGGAGGAGGAAGAGGAGGAGAAGGATGAGGAGGAATAAGAGGTGGATCGGTCTTTCCTGCCTGAAAGAACTGGGGCCACCTCGAGTAGGCAGTGGCCATCTCTGGAACAAAGCAAACCATCGAGCGCGGGGAGCTCCCCGCGAGCCCCAACCCCCAGGTCCAGTCTGCACACGGGGTTCACCGGCGCACTCTCTTGAAGACCGGCCCGCCGCTTGCAGGGGCGAGGCCTCGGACGGCTCTCTCGGGCAGAGCTGAGGGACAGCCAAATTCTTGACGTTCCGCGTGATCCCACCAGCCCCTCCTTCTCCTCCTCCTCCTCCTCCTCCTCCTCCTCCTCCTCCTCCTCCAGACGAGTTGCCCTGATCAGGGAAACGGAGAAGAACGCAGTGGAAGGGCTGTGTGAGACGTCGTACCCCAAGAGCGGGACGATGGAAGAGGAATCGAAGGAGGAGCAGGAGAAGAAGGAGAAGGAAGGCTCCTTGGGTGCTTTCGGGGGGCCTCTTGGAGCCTCTTGGGGGTCTCTTTGGAGCCCCTTGGACCATCAAGGAGCATCTGGGATCATCGTGCGGAACCAGTATACGCACGCAACCGCAACATGCTTGGGGGATGGACGTCCGAGTGGTGGCGAGTGGCTGAGGCCTGCTTACTCCGGCTGCATCCCGTGTCGTCCAGCTCATCAATCCTGGGCCTGATCGGACGTCGTCCAGCTCGATGGCCCCTGCAATCGCGCTTCGCAGCTCTGTTCAGGGGGGGAAAAATACCACACTGACACAATTCATCGTCGACTCCCAGAGACATATGATAATATATCGAAAAAGAGGGGGAAGGCGCAAATCAAGCAAGTATAAGAAACTACGGGAAATCCTGAGATTTGTGCGTATTCACTCGTGTGTCCCAGGGTCCCTTACTCTAAAGTGAGCTGGGCGATGACGGTGAGTGGGAACGAGCGTGCGCCCGCGGCCGCTTGGCTCAAGGCGGCCGGCCGCCCAGATCTGACTACACCTCAGTGCGAGGCGTACTATTTGCCATCGATACCGCAACTACGATTGGGACGATCGTTATTACGGTACAACAGAGCTGGAGCTTGGCTTCGCCTAAGGCGAAGCTGCTGGTTGGGCCTCCCAACCCTTTTCAAACTTGGTAGCGGAACTGTCCTATGGTGGTCAGCTCTTGCTCTACTCCTCACCATCCACGGCACTGTCTGGTGGACTACTGACGTGGTGGAACATCAGGGTGCAGTGGGTTTGCGCGGAGGAATGTATATAATTACGCAACATGGCAAGGTCACTTGCAGTGACACCTCCGCCTACGCAGAGGCCTCTTACTCGCTTCCTACATCCCTGCGCTACTACACGTCCTGAAGTCCACCCACCTACTCCAATTGTAAGCTTCTTCGATGACATAATGCATGGAAGCGTGCGATACGACATTGT